TGATTATACAGGTGCAATTGCTTATCTTGAAGTATTTATTTTGATTTTCGTTAATAAAAAAGAAATGTTTAATTGTGTATGTATTATTTGAAATAGTTTTGTCGTCAAAGTGAAAAAGAAGTAAAAGATCTTGATCTTTGGTTAGCATTTGCAGCATTTCATGCTGGTGATTATCAAAGAGCAAGTGATGTATGTATATTTTCGAAATAGAATAACTCTTTTTTATCTACATTTATCTATATATTTTCGTACGATTTGATTAAATAAGATAATTGTGTAAACTTTTGTTTTATGTCCCTATTCATCCAGTATACCATCATGATATTACTTAGAGGTTGTTTCTATGCTTGCAGAACAGATCGAATCATGTGTTAAACTAGTTTAAAATTATTCAAGTGAGAGCATTCACGAGGTATACATGCATAAATAATTAGTCTGAACTAATAAGAGAATATGAAAAAAATTCTGAGTACAGTTCGATCTCATATTTCAATTATGAATAGAGCTTATTGTAACAAAGCCAACTTAAAAAGGATTTAAGCACATGGTGTATTAGTCTCGAATTAAACTTTTCCAGAAAAATACGTCTAATAGTATGTGACAATTAGATAATACAAATCTACTTAATTCGTTTTGATATAGGCCTTGAATATTTAAATTAACTTTATATATCTAATTAAATGTTGTTATTATTATTTAGGAATATGAAAATATTCTCAAAAAAGATCCACGAAATGGTGAAGTCTGCATTTATCTCGCTTGCGCTTATTTCATGTTGGGCAAATACGATGATGCTGAACATACAGCACTCAAAGGTCCAAAATCTCCATTACAAACTCGAGTTTTATTTCATGTTGCACATAAACAAAATAATGAAGAAAAACTCATGAATTTACACCGACAACTACAAGATGTGATTGAAGATCAAATGTGTCTTGCTAGTATGCATTATATGAGAAGTCATTTTCAAGAAGCACTAGATATTTACAAGCGTTACTTAGTTGAAAATCGGTAGATATATATTTTGCTTTCATTACTATTATAAAATAAACATTTATTTTAGTGAATACTTAGCATTAAATGTTTATGTAGCACTCTGTTACTATAAACTTGATTATTATGATATATCACAAGAAGTTCTTGACGTTTACTTGAAGAAGAACCCTGAATCAGCAACAGCAACAAACTTACAAGCTTGTAATCAGTATCGATTGTATAATGGAAAGGCAGCTGAAGTAAAAAACATAAACTAATCAAACAAAAAATACTTTATTGTGTTATTTTAGAATGATCTCAAACAATTTCTTGATAAAATGAGTACATCATTTAATTATGCCAAAGAGTTATTCCGCCATAATATGGTAGAAATAATTTATCATTACCGTACTAAACCATAAAAATTTTTCTTTTCTTTGTTTACTAAAGGTTGTTTTTCAAGGTGGTGAGGGTGCTCTTCAGATCTTACCACCGTTAGTTGATGTTATTCCAGAAGCACGTTTGAATCTAGTTATTTATTATCTGAAAGAAGGTAACATATTACAAGTAATATATCGTTCTTAATTTTTTGAAAAATGTAGATGATTTGGAACATGCATATGAATTAATGAAGGATGTTGAACCCTTACAGCCAGCTGAATATATTTTGAAGGGTGTTGTTAATGCTGCGTATGGACAAGAACATAATTCAGTAGAGTTGACCTTTTTATATAAAATATAAAATATTTCATCTTATCTCATGTTTAGCGTGATCATATTAAAACGGCTCAATCATATTTTCAATTAGTTGGCGGTTCAGCGAGTGAATGCGGTAAATACTATTATTAAAGAAAACATTATTTATTAATAATGAGCAATTATTATCTAAAACTTTTACTCAAAATAAAAACAAGGGTATTTTCGAGTTTCGCCAAGATACTTATAGATTGAAATTTACAGATAAATAAAACATATTGTATTAGAAATAGATTAATACAATTTTTGTAAATTCATTTAGATACCATACCTGGTCGACAAAGTATGGCTGCATGTTATT